GTGATTGGGTGCCGTGGGCTGGAGGGCTTGCGGGCGGCGGAGGAGGACGTCAAGGACGCAGTAGGGTCCGACGAATGCATCTTGGAGAACACGGCGGATGCTCCCGACGAAGGAATGCCAGTTGATCGCCGAGCGGTCCGCGGCAAGCTGAAGCTTGTCGACGGAGGAGGCGTCAATGGGAGGGGGGAGAGGGGGAGGAGTGGTAGCCATGAGGGGCGACGGCGGGTGGACCCGCGGCGGCCTCGAGGTGGACGGCGGCGGGTGGACCCGCGGCGGTCAAGTGGGAGGGCGACGGCGGGTGGACCCGCGGCAGCCGAGAGGGAGGAGGGGGGGGGGGGGGGGGGGGGGGGGGGAGGGGGGGGGGAGGGGGGGGGGGGGGTGCTGCTGCGGGGAGTGGAGTTCTTCTCCGGCTGCTGCTGCTGCTGCCGCTGCTGCCGCTGCTGCCGCTGCTTCCGCTGAGAGGGAGGAGGGGGGGGGGGGAGGGGAGGAGGGGGAGGAAGATGGTGGATGCAGCTACTGCCGCTGCTGTCGCTGCTCCTGATGCTGCCGCTGCTGCCGCTGTTGCTGCTGTGGCTGCTGAGCTGTCCCGGCTGCTGCTGCGTGGGAGGAGAGGAGGAGGAAAGGGGGAGGGGGAGGGAAAACGCAGGTGTAGCTGTGGGCGAAGCTGTTGCTGCCAATGACGCTGCTGCTGCGGGATGAGGCGGCTGCTACGAGGAACGTGCGGCGGCGGGATGCGCGGGTGGCGACGAGGGAATCGTGGCGGCGGAATGAGCGAGCGGCGACGAGGAGGGCGCGGCGGAGGGATGCGCGGGCGGCGACGGGGAAGGCGCGGCGGTGGGATGCGCGGGCGGCGACGAGGAAGGCGCGGCGGCGGGATGCGCGGGCGGCGACGAGCAGGTCGCGGCGGTAGGATGCGGGGGCGGCGATTGTTAGGTCGCGGCGACGGGATGTGCGGGCGGCGACGAGCAGGTCGCGGCAGGAGGTCGCGCGGGCGGCGACTTTAGGTCGCGGCGGCAAGGGGTGCAGGCGGCGACGAGAAGGTCGCAGCGGCGGGATGCGCAGGCGGCGACGCGAAGTCGCGGCGGCGGGTCGTGCAGGCGGCGACGCGAAGTCGCGGCGGCGGATCGTGCAGGCGGCGACGAGCGGGTCGCGGCGGCGGGATGCGTAGGCGGCGACGGGGGGTCGCGGCGATGGGGAGTGCAGGCGGCGACGCGAAGTCGCGGCGGCGGGACAGGAGGCGACGACGGGGCGTCGCGGCGGCGGGATGCGCAGGCGGCGCCGAGGAAGGCGCGGCGGCGGTGGGGGGAGGCGGCGACGCGACGTCGCGGCAGCGGGAGGGGCAGGCGACGACGGGGCGTCGCGGCGGAGGGATGCGCGGGCGACGCCGAAGTAGGCGCGGCGGCGGGAGGGAGACGGCGACGGGGGGTCGCGGCAGGGGGAGGAGGAGGCGGCGACGAGGCGTCGCGGCGGGATGTGCAGGCGGCGCCAGAGAAGGCGCGGCGGCGGAAAAAAGGGGGAGGGGGGGGGGGGGGGCAGCGACGGTGTGTCGCGGCGACGGGGGGCGGTGATGCACTCGCGGCGGTGGGATCCGCAGGCGAGGAGGGCGCAATCACGGCGGAGGGAGGGAGGGCGGCGACGACGTAGGTCGTGCCAAGGAGATGCTAGGTTGAGCCACACGTAGGGGGTTTGTGGCTGTGGGGTGGGCCCATGGGGAAGAAAAAACTTTGAGGGAGGGAGAGAAAAGGCTTAGGAACAACTAGCTCTATACCATGTGAAGATTGTGAATTGAACAAGTAATTCGATTAGAGGAACAACCTAGCATACATGGTTGGAAGGGAAGGTTGGAAGGGAAGGATGAAAGTGACCATAGGTTGGGTTGACCTCACTTGGGGAAGTGAGGGAACCATAGGTCAAGTGGGTTGGGTTGCCCACACTTTGTAGAAGTGAGGCAACCCTAGGCCCACTTGGCTTGGGGTAACCTCAATTGTGGGAAGTGAGGTACCCACAAGTCAAGAGGGTTGCATTTGGGGGCTCCACCACAATTGGGTGGATTGGCACCCCAAAGTGCAAGACTACACCCAAAGTTGGGTGTAGTCCCAACCCAACTGTGCACCACAATTGGTGTACAGTCACATGTGTTGGCATGCTACACAATATATATTTTAACAAGTGCAGGTTGGTGACAAGTGCAGCAGTACTGTCAAACGATGTTAGGTCGGGTAACAAAAACGGCATGAATATGCGACCAAGAGAGGCGGAGGTGGGAGCGGAGTAGCGGGTCTTAATTACACCAAGACACTCCTGGGCAGAGCAAACCTGGTCGAAATGGGTCTCCTCATACTCGGGGAGAAGGCTGGTGAGGGCCAAGAGAGCTGCAGCGTCACGAGACTCCCACGCTGACGAAGCAGCACGGCCCTGAGCAAAGCACTCACAGTTTGCGGGAGTAGGCTGAGGAGGAAGGTCAGTGGGGGGCCCGGGAGACGGCAGGTCACCAGAGGCGTGCGCCCAGAGCGTGTCACCGTCCTGTCGCTAACTCCTAAGATACAGCTCGACGCGTATGAGCCAGATGGGAAACTCTAGTGCCCTACCCTCCGCATCGAAACGTAGAGGTAGAGGGGTCTCCATGGCGAGTGTTCGAACGAACTAGAAGCGAGACTCTAGGGATGAACGGAGTGAACGATGAGGAGAGCCACTAGGGCCAGGGAAAGAACAATTGAAACGAATAACGAACTGAGGCGGGAGGGCTATGCGAGAAACGTTAGCGTAGGAACTAGAGACGCATGTACGCTTGAGTAGGGGCGATCGAATAGGTGCAACTGGCTAGGAAAGATAGTCGAGACAAGAACCTAATTCGTGCTAGGTGAAGGTGGCCGGGGCTTCTAGCCGCTCTAGGTGAAGTCAATGGCAGGAGGAGCGAAGCAGGGGCTGTGAACTGCATGTGTTAGAGGTGTTGCCAGCAAGCGGGATTTATGCGCTTCTGCTCGCGCGCGGCGGCGCATGTGTGGCTGCATGCGTGCACAGCACGGCCGGGCGCGGAATGGGACGGGGCGGGCAAGATGCGCAGGGGCAACTGCTGTGCGCGCGGCAGTGGCTGCTACGCTGGCGGCCGCGACGGCTGCATGCGTGGCGGCGGCGGCGGCGGCGGCTGCTCGTGTGCGTGCGATTGCGCACGCGTTCGCGACTGCTGCTGCTGTGCGCGTAGCCTGCTCGCGGCTGTGCTGCTGGCTGCGCGCGCGGCTATGCGGGCTGCAGTTGCGTGCGCGCGACAGGGCAGGGCGCGGGACGGGACGAATAAGGGTGGGGGGGCAGCGCGCGGCGGCCTATGTGCGCGCGGGTGCGTGCAGGGGCTGTTGCTCGCGCGTATGCCTATGGCAGGGCGCGGTACGGGGCATTACAGAGTGTTAGGAGGCACGCTACGGACTGGGTGCGCTACGAACAGGAGGACGAGGTGCTTCACGAGCGGGACGGGGCACATTTTTTAGGCTAGGAACTAACCTACTGCTGATACCATCTTAGAATCTAGGTAGTAAGTTAGGTATGTAAGAAGGTGACTAAGGAGGAGAAGGGTGGGGGGGGGGGGGGGGGGGGGGGGGGGGTACAAGAAGAATGTTGAGAAGTTTGGTGCACCCCCTAAGATGCAACCCACTAAAGCATATCTAGACAAATTAAGATAGTTTGACAATTTAGATGTTGTGCGCTTTATTTTTTATATTCGAACTTGGTTCACCTTCAGTTCATAAGTAGAGGTTGAATACGTTTTAGAGCGTTCAAGAGAGGTTTGCTAGCTGCACCACTCTGAACCCCTGCTCACCAGGCCTGAAACCGTACCACATACAGAAAGATCCGAAATTGTTAAGAAATGCATCAGTTTTGACCCAGCAGTTGATGCATCAGTGAGGTGTGCCAGGAGCGTCCGATCTTGCAAATACCCTACCAAACCATATGGAAATAAAAATAAACCGCTCTCCAAGCACTATTGAACATAAGGCCATCCACTCCACTCCTCCACCATATCTGATCATAGACTGGATGTGCGTTGTTTTGCTGTTGGTTGAGCATTGCTCACCAAGTCCGCGTATGGCATGGCTCTGCCCGCTGCTGTCGCTCTCGCGTGCCTCGCGTTAAATCTCTCATCTTGCCACGTCTTCAGTGCCACGTGGCAAAAGGACGGTAGTTTCGCGGTTCCGACGCCATGGGAACCAAATGCAAACCTCGAAAGCGTCGATTTCACACTAGGAGTCGACCGCGACGAAAAACCTGCGAATGGCGAAATGCTACACGGGAAACGGTCGCCAGCACGCGAGGGAGACGGCGAGGAGAACAGGATCAAATGCGGTCGCGCTTTGCGTGATTGGGCTGTATCCGCCGTGCATTCCGCTTCTCTAGGGATTGCCGAGACAGCACCAGCGTCTCGCTTCTGGTCCGTACGACGCGACGACGCTTCATATCTATCTTTTTTGTTTTTGTTTGATGCTCACAATGCTCGTGGTTCCACTCTTAAGCGCATGGTTCCGCTGTTAATTTCCGCTTGAGCGTCCTTCGAACACCTGTTGGATTCCAGTTTTGTCTTGTTTTGCTTCTGGTTTTGCTTCGACTCTTTAGTTGACTCGTACGGTCCTGCCTCGACTCTTGATTTGCTTCTGGTCTTGCTTCTAGTCTTGTTGATGTTACTCGTGTTACTGCTGCGACTCTGTACTCGTGCTGCTGCTAACCAGCATTGTACTGCATAGCATAGCTCCGCTGCTCCGTTGCTCGGAATAAAATGCAATTACTATGTTGTTCCGTGGCATGGCATGGTATGGTGTGGTATGTCATGGCATTGAATGGCATGTCCTGACATGACGTGGCATGGCATGGCATGGCATGGCATGGCATGGCATGGCTTGTCATGGCATGGCTTGTCATGGCATGGCTTGTCATGGCATGGAATGGCATGAAATGGGGTGGTATGTCCCATCAGCTCCCCTCACAGAGCATCATGCTTCAGACCATGCAGTGGCATGGGCCAGTCGCACAGGAACAGTGGCATCACTCCTTCGCTTGCCCACCTCTCCAACTCTTGCCCTCGTATTCTCGTCCTCGCACCAGGTGCGTTCCCTTGGATTGGGTTGCGTGCAGTTCCTCCCAGATACGTTCGTTGTCCCTCCCTGATGCAAATTGCTACGTGCAAATTTCACTCTCTCCCAACCCCTCATATAACCCCACCCCACCCATGACGCTCCAACATTGTGCCAATGGCATGATTATTTTGCGTCCACCCATCCTGTCCTGCCTCTCCTTGCAGATTCCACCCTCCACCACCTGACACTTGATGCACGGCTAGGGGGAAAAGAAGGGGGAGAGGGAGGAGCATATTTGTTTTTGCGTCTACCCAAGATTCCATCCTCCTGCCTGCCTCTCTCCTGTCCTGCGTCTCCTTGCAGATTCCACTCTCCACCACCTGACACTTGACGCACGGCAAGGGGGCAACGGAGGAGAAGGAGGACGAGGGGGCGAAAGCACCAAAGGAAAAGCAGGAGGAGAAACAGGAGGAGGAGGAGTAGAAACAAGGCAGGGTGTGGAACAAGGAAGAGAGAAAAAAGGGGAATACGGAGGAGAGAGCGTCAGGGAAGGAGACTGGGTAGCATCAGAACAGGCATCAGAAGAACCGGAGCAAGCAGGCAATGGGCTGGGTTCTTGCTCCTCGGCCCTCCCTTCTCTGTCTCCCCCAGGCGCTCCCCTCTGCCCGTGCCTCCCCAGTCCCTCTCGACGTGACCTACTGCCAGTTGCTGCTCGTCAGGAGCAGCAGCTGTGTGTGATGATTCCGGTGCAGCCCCTGCGGTACAAGGGAGAGTCCAGGTGAGGAGGGTCCTGGGAGAGGAAGGCTGCTTGCTTTCAAGGAGGGGGAAGGGTGCTTGTGCACACAGGAAATGAAAGATGCTTGTTTGTTTATTTGTTTGTTTGTTTGTTTGTTTGTTTGTGTTTGTTTGTTTGTATTATGTTTCTCTGGTGATTGGTGTGGATGGCAAGGGGTAAAAGGTGTTTTTCCATCGACTGCTTTGTAAGATGACACGCTGCCATGGTGTGTCGTGGCAATGAACCATGCTGTGTAGTTATCGTTGTTTAGCGGTTGGAAGACTTTTAGTGTATTGCATCTGGATGTCACATCCCCTCTTTTCTCCCTCCTCCGCCCTATCTGGATGTATCGCATCTGTCTCCTTTGCAATGGCAGACCAGCCACTGATGGTAGTAGGAAAAGCAGCAATAGTAGCAGCAAAGGCAGTGGTAGCAGCAGCAGCAGTGGAAGCAAGGACAGTGGTAGCGGCAGCAGCAGCAGCAGGAGCAGCAGAAGTGTTAGCGACAACCAGAATGACAAGGCAGCCACATCAAGAAGTGAAAGAAGCAGGCAAGATTCAGAGAGCATTCACAGCAGCAGCAGCAGCAGCAGCAGCAGCAGAAGTGGCAGCAGTAGTAGCAGCGGCAGCAATAGTGGCACCAGCAGCAGTAGTAGCAGGAAAGGAGGTGGTGGGGAGGAGCAAGGTCCCAACAGTGAGGTGAAGAGGACTCTAGACATGTTCCTCTCGGCTGCTGTCAGACTGGTGCGTGCATGCCTCCATGCCTTGTGTGCGTGCATGCCTCCATGCCTTGTGTGCATGCATGCCTCCATGCCTTGTGTGCATGCATGCCTCCATGCCTTGTGTGCATGCATGCCTCCATGCCTTGTGTGCATGCATGCCTCCATGCCTTGTGTGCATGCATGCCTCCATGCCTTGTGTGCATGCATGCCTCCATGCCTTGTGTGCATGCATGCCTCCATGCCTTGTGTGCATGCATGCCTCCATGCCTTGTGTGCATGCATGCCTCCATGCCTTGTGTGCATGCATGCCTCCATGCCTTGTGTGCATGCATGCCTCCATGCCTTGTGTGCATGCATGCCATCTCTTGCCAATCCTTCCATTCCACCCATGCCATAGCATCCATGCAATGCCATGCGATGCCATATTGTGCCATGCCATGCCATGCCATGCCATTCTCTTCGGACCCCTTGTTCTCATGTTCTTGGCGTTGTTGCTGCTGCTGCTGTCGTTGCATGCGGATTATGATTTGTGTGTGGATGTGTGTGTGCTCTCGCGCGTGTGTGACAGGTGATGCAAGGGGAGCATGACAAGGCTCTTGAAATCTTCGACAAGGTCAGTCAGTCAGTCAGTCTGTCAGCCAGTCAGTCAGTCAGTCAGTCAGTCTGTCAGTCAGTCAGTCAGTCAGTCAGTCAGTCAGTCAGTCAGTCAGTCAGTCAGTCAGTCAGTCAGCAGCCAGCCACTCAGTTAGTCAGTCAGTCAGTCAGTCAGTCAGTCAGTCAGTCAGTCAGTCAGTCAGTCAGTCAGTCAGTCAGTCCTGTGTGCGCCCGTCCACACATGCGCACACACATGCACGCACACATGCACACACGTGCCCCCACACACGCACACAAACTCACTCTCTCACACACACACACTGACACTGACACGCTCACTCACACTCACACTCCCCACGCACAGGTGTTGGAGCAGAAGGTATTCACGGACCATGCACTGACGTACAGGGGGACAGTCTACGCCCTCATGCACCGATACCAGGAAGCCATTGCTGACTTCACCAAGGTGCCCAGCATCTTCCTCCTGCCTTCCTCCTGCCTTCCTTGTGCTTTCCTCCTGCCGTCCTTCCTCATGCCTTCCTTCCCCGTGCTTTCCTTATGCCTTTCCTTGTCGTGTCTCGTGCATCCCTTGTGAATGGTTCACCTATTGCCTGATCCCCTCACTGCATCTCGTAAACCTTGATAAATGGCATGAAAGCCACTTCTGCTGATGTATAAGTCAAGAAAATCCAGACTTTACCACCAGTCCCTCTTAGCAACACCACATATTTTTCTCACATCTCCTCCCGTCCCTCCATCCTGTCTCCCCTCTCCTCCCCTCCCCACTTCTCCCTCCTTCTCCCAGATGCCTTCAGCTCTCTCCGCCATTCGTTGGAGTTCAATCCGGCCCTCTTTTTCTCTCATCTCCTCCCGTCCCACCATCCTGCCTTCCTTCTCCTCCCCGCCCCTCTTCTCCCCGCCCCTCTCCTCCCCGCGCCTCTTCTCCCCTCCCCTCTTCTCCCCTCCCCTCTCCTCCCCTCCCCTCCCATCTCCCCCCCTCCTCTCTCCCCTTCTCCCCGATGCCCTCATCTCTCTCCGCCAGGCACTGGAGTTCAATCCAGCCTTCTATGAGGCGAGGAGGAGGCGCGGACAGACATACACTGGCATGGGCAAGAACGATGAGGCAAGCCCCGTCACCCTGCTCCTCTGCTCCGCTGCTCCTCTGCTCCTCTGTTCCTCTAATCTCCTGCTCCTCTGCTCTCCTGCTCCCCTGCTTCTCTGCTGCTCTGCCGCTGTCCCTTTTTCTCGCGAAACTGTTACTGCTTCCACCCAATTGATGCTCATTCCCGTTTTACTCCTGCCCCTACATGTCCCCTCTCTTCCGCTTCTTCCCTCTTCCTCTTCTCGTTCCCATTGCACGTTCACTGAATTTCCTTTGTGATTTCCTTCATGCACACATGCATGCATGTGTGCACACGTCCTCCTGTGCACGCACGAATGCACACATGTGATGCGTGCATGCTATGCAATGCAAGTGCCTGTGCCTGTGCCTGTGCCTGTGCCTGTGCCTGTGCCTGTGCCTGTGCCTGTGCCTGTGCCTGTGCCTGTGCCTGTGCCTGTGCCTGTGCCTGTGCCTGTGCCTGTGCCTGTGCCTCTGCCTGTGCCTGTGCCTGTGCCTGTGCCTGTGCCTGTGCCTGTGCCTGTGCCTGTGCCTGTGCCTGTGTCTGTGTCTGTGCCTGTCTCTCCACACCGCACACATGCATCAGGCAGTGAAGGACTTGACAGCAGTGATCGAGGCTCGCCCCACCGACTGGCCCGCATACATGGAGCGAGGTACGCTTACGAAGCAATCTACAACTCCACAGCAGATTGCCGAACAGCACACTCACGGAGCAAGTAAGGTACGCTTTCTATCACTGCTGGGCTGGGCCCACCAACCCACTGACTGGCCTGCATACATGGAGCGAGGTACGCTTACGAAGCAAGTATCAACTCCACAGCAAATTGCCGCACACTCACGCAGCAAGTAAGGTGCGCTTTCTATCACAACTGGGCCCACCCACCCACCGACTTGCCTGCATATATGGAGCGAGATACACTCACAACAACATCAACTCCACAGCAGATTGCCGCACACCCACACAGCGAGCGACCACACAGCGAGCGATGTACACTTCCTGAATCTATGATCTATCTACTCAAGAACTTCCTTCCACCTATCCACATTCACATCCCTTCCGTCCTTCCTGCCCTGCCACTCCGCTGAAACCTCTCATCCCAACAACAAATCCTCCCCCCACCTACCCCTCCCTCCCTACCCTACCCTACTCGCCCAACCCCCCTGCCACCACCCGCCACCCCCTTACCAGGCATAGCGCACTTCAATGCACGGCTCATCTCCCAAGCCCTCAGCGACCTGCGCCTGATCTGCGCCCTAATAATACTCTCCTGCGGACCGTCCCCCCCTGCCCTCACGGCCCTCAGAGACCTGCGAATGGGCTGCGCAGCGCCTCAAATCAGTCTCCCGTCGGGCCGTCCTCCCCTGCCCTCGCTGCCCCCCCCCCCCCCCTCCCCTCTCCCACCCCCTCGCCAGGCATAGCGCACTTCAATGCACGGCTCATCTTCCAGGCCCTCAGCGACCTGCGAAAGGTTTGCGGCTTAAATCAGTCACCCGTCGGGCCGTCCTCCCCTGCCCTCCCTGCCTCCCCTCTGCCCCCCCCCCGCCTCAGGCATAGCGCACTTCAATGCACGGCTCATCTTCCAGGCCCTCAGCGACCTGCAAAAGGTTTGCGGCTTAAATCAGTCACCCGTCGGGCCGTCCTCCCCTGCCCTCCCTGCCTCCCCTCTGCCCCCCCCCCGCCTCAGGCATAGCGCACTTCAATGCACGGCTCATCTTCCAGGCCCTCAGCGACCTGCGAACAGTCACCAAACACGAGCCCAAGAATGCCCAGGCTCTCTTCTTCCTGGTATCATGCTATCCCTGTGTTATAGTTTTGGGAGCTTTGCTCAATGGGATGTGTTGGGGTTGGGGCTGTGTGTAAGTGTGGCTTGCTTGCGCTGTGCGTTGCTTCGTGATTGCGTTAGAGTGGCGTGGTTACGCATGCTCCCTGTCTCTGTCTTTCAGATACCATTGACTGTGCAAGGTTGACCCGACACTTTCAACTTCTCTTTCTTCCTCTCCTTCCCCTCCCTCCCTCCCTCCCTCCCTCCCTCCCTCCCTCCCTCCCTCCCTCCCTCCCTCCCTCCCTCCCTCCCTCCCTCCCTCCCTCCCTCCCTCCCTCCCTCCCTTGCTCCCTCCCTCCTCCCATCCCTCCTCCGCCACTCCTGTCAATCCCTCCTCTCCACCCAACCCACCCCCCAGGCGCAGACGCACATGCACGGGGCTGAGTGTGCGGCAGCCATTCCGCTACTGCACCGGGTGCAGCACCAGGACCCGCACCTCAAGGGGCTGCTCGTTCAGCTGAATGCTATGCAGCGGCTGCTTGCATCTCACACTCCCTCTATCTCCCTCCTTTCTTCCCCTCCCTCGTCTCCCCCTCCGTCCGTCCGTCCGTCCGTCCCTTCTCCCCTCCTGCTTGTATCCCCCCTCTCCGCCCCTCCCCTTCCCAGGCGCAGGCGCACATGCACGGGGGCGAGTGTGCGGCGGCCATACCCCTGCTGCACCGGGTGAAGCAGCTGAATCCCAACTTGAAGGGGTTGCTGGTGCAGCTGGGGCAGGCGTACAAGGAGGAATCGCGCCTGGAGGAGGCGGAGGAGACGTACCGACAGGCACTGGAGAAGGAACCACAGTGAGTGCGAGAGAGCTGTGTGCCTGTTTGCCTGCTGTGTGGTGCTGTGCTGCCTTGTGCATCATGCACTGTGCTGTTTGCTGTGAGCTCCGTGCGTTGTGCTCTCTGTGCTTTGTTTTGTGCATCGTGGTGTGCGTTGTGCTCTGTGCTTCCTCCATTGTGCTTGCTTTGTGTACTTGAGGAATCCCAAACGTGCCTCTCTCTACATCGTGTGCCTCTCTCTACATCGTGTGCCTCTCTCTACATCGTGTGCCTCTCTCTACATCGTGTGCCTCTCTCTACATCGTGTGCCTCTCTCTACATCATGTGCCTCTCTCTACATCATGTGCCTCTCTCTACATCATGTGCCTCTCTCTACATCATGTGCCTCTCTCTACAGCGTGTGCCTCTCACCCCTATCAGTGTCCCTTTGGCATGAGCGAGGGTCACTGTCTGTCTGAGGAGGTTGAGTTGAGGGCACGTCACACTTTGCAGCAGCGTTGAAAAGTTGCTGCCAATGTGCCACATACCATACCAATACTGCTGCCACTTTCCTCCTGGGTCTGTTGGCAACTTGGCAGGAATCTGTTGGGCTACCATCTGTACTCAAATCTCAAGCACGGCATGGGGTACCATAGGTGAGTGGGTGAGAGGGTTAGTGAGTGAGTGCGCGTGTGTGTGTGTGTGTGTGTACGTGTGTGTGTGTGTTTGCGAGTGTGGGAGAGGGTCTAGGAGTAGGGGTGGGGGGAGAGAGCGAGAGTGTGATCTGCATAGTTTGATTCTCCCATTTCTTTTCATCTCGGGGAGTCCAACTGCTTGTGTCTTTGTGGTGACAACATGTATGTATGCATGCATTCATCCATGGTGCATGACGCCCGGCACCCGTGTGACTGCCCTGCCAGTCACATATGCATGCCACGTACACATGCCACATGCCACAGCCACATACACACAACACAACACACGACGCCAGTAGCATCCCATGAGCAACATGCTCCCCCGCTTCCATGGCCAGTGTGGTACAAAAGATTGCAAAGAACTGTGTGATGGTGGTGGCAGAGTGTGACGGCACGGCAGAGTGTGAGTGAGGCAGAGTTTCAGGGCCAAAAACCATCTGCACACCATCCAGTGGAGATCCAAATCCTTTCCCTGTCATTTCCTGTGCTCAGCCCTTTCCTACCAGTCTCCATCCCCCACCCAACCTCCCACCCATCCCCCACCTTGCCTCACCTCCCCCCACCCTGCCCCCACACCAGAGAGGCGATGGAGATAGCGCGAAAGGGCTGAGACTAGCAGATGCCAATGACTTGGATCTGCGCTACATGGAGGCCTCCTGCCTGCACGCCCTGGGGTACTTCCCTTCCCCAAGGCATCTCTCCTGAATCCATCGCATCATCCGTCCTTCTCCCCCGATTCTCCCCCCACACCAGGGAGGCGATGGAGATAGCTCGTAAAGGGCTGAGACTAGCAGATGCCAATGACTTGGATCTGCGCTACATGGAGGCCTCCTGCCTGCACGCCCTGGGGTACTTCCCCCAGGCCATCCAGGCCTACTCTGCCATTCTCGCCCTGCAGCTGGCCCCAGGCGTGGACCAGACCAAGCAGTTCCAGGCGTTCTACCAGGTGAGTATTGAGTTGACTCAAAGCTCGTGCCTGCATGAATGAATGGCCTGGGTGGGGTACTTTCCCCAGGCCATCCAGGCCTACTCTGCCATTCTCGCCCTGCAGCTGGCCCCGGGTGTGGTCCAGACCAAGCAGTTCCAGGCGTTCTACCGGGTGCGGAGGGGTTTCCAGGTGTGTAGTGCAGTGTTCTTCTGTTTGTGCTTGGTGCGGTCTGTTTCGTGTGAGAGCTGCTGCGTGGGTGGAGCCTGTTCCATGTGTGATGCGTAGGAGGTGGGTGGGGGGGGGGGGGGACGGGGAGTGGGGGGAGGTATGAGCTGACAGTATACCTGGCACAGCGGTATCTCAAGTCTGTGATTGACTTTTGAGACGTCTCAAAGGTGAGCTGACAGTATACCTGGCACAGCGGTATCTCAAGTCTGTGATTGATTACATACATTATGATAAATGGCGTCACACGCTCTTAATTTTCCCTTCCGCCATCCCATCTCGCCTCCCCCAACCTGCCACTTCACCAGCGCTTCACTAGACGAGGACATGCGCTCTTCCCTTATTTCACCCCCATTGCTCTCTCTCCGCCTGTCCCCATCCCCATCCCGTTGCCCTTCTCTCCATTCCCATCAGCATGAGTTGACAGCATACCTGGCGCAGCGGCGGACCAAGCCAGTGACAGCATACAGCATAGACGACGACATGCACCCCACGTTCAAGGAGCTCTGGGCCACACTCTCTTAATTTCGCCTTCGTCCCTCCTTCCCGTCTCGCCTCCCGGAACCCCCTGCTTAACCAGCGCGAGTTGACAGCATACCTGGCGCAGAGGCGCAGCAAGCCCGTGACGGCATACAGCATAGACGATGACATGCGCCCTTTTCCTCCCCTTCTGCCCTCCTTCCCCTCTCGCCTCCCCTCTTTTTTCCCCTGCTTCACCAGCGCGAGCTGACAGCATACCTTGCGCAGAGGCGCGGCAAGCCGGTGACAGCATACAGCATAGACGACGACATCCACCCCACGTTCAAGGAGCTTTGGGCCAAGCGCATTGCCTACGCACCCCTCTTCCCGGGGTACCAGCTCCAGCCGCTCCGCACCGCACTCAAGCTCACCGCACCGGAGACCGGCGGGCACAACGTGAGGTTTTCGGAGGGCGTGCGGAGGGTGCTGGGGGCGGCGGATGAGCTAGGGAAGAGGACGCAGTACTGGTGTAATGGGTTTCTGAGGAACCGCAGGCAGCATCGCATGGCTGGGCTGGCGATTCTTGATGTTAGGGATATGGTGAGGGAGACTTGGAAGAGAATGAGACAGGAGAGGGGTGGGGGGAGTGGTGGGGAGGGAGGGGAGGGAGGATTGGGAAGGGTGGGAGAAGGGGGAAGTGGTGGAGGGAGTGGTGAGGAAGGGGGGAGTGGTAAGGGACGGCAGAGAGGGAAGAGGCGACAGCAACGCCAGCAGCAACTGCAGCAGCAGGAGCAGCAGGAGGAGGGGCAGAAGGCGGAGCAGGAGCAGGAGCAGGAGCAAGGCCGGGCGGGGAGGAAGAGGGGTGCAGCAGGATATGTGCGGCGGTGGCGGGATATTTATGATCGCGTGGTGCGATGGAGGCAGCTGGGGGAGCCCATTGAACCAGTTGTGTGGATTGACAAACTCACGTACGTATGAACATGAACATGAACATGAACATGAACATGAACATGCTAGGTTGTGGTGTGGACACGTGAGGATCTCGACTCGACACACTGAACTGCACGACTGCACGACTGCACGACTGCACGACTGTACGACCGCACGACCCCAAGCCACGCGAAAAATGTGCAACCCCCCCTGGTGGTTCAGTCTCAACACTCGCCCCCCTCATCTCACCTCCACCTCTTCCCCTCCCGCCCCTGTGCCTCCATACCCTCTCATTCCCCCCCCCCCATGTGTGTTGTGGGAATCGTGCGCTCTCTTGTTCACATGACACTGCGATGTCTGCAATGACCACATCGCATTGCAATTGCAACCACCACCCACCCACCCACCCACCAGGCGCAAGGAGTTTGAGGATGGCTTTGGATCCGTCACAGCCATGCTGGTCAGCCAGCTCAAGAGCACCAAATACTACTTCGCTTTCGACAGGTAGCGCATGTTAACGCACGCAGTCACCTCGGTTCATTGTGACACGCTTTCAAGCCGAATCTAAGGTCACCTCGGTTCTGGTTCTGTCACGGCCATGCTGGTCAGCCAGCTCAAGAGCACCAAATACTACTTCACATTCCACAGGTTGTGCCTCCGCTTCTTAAGCCTGTGCTCCCCCATTCGCCCCCACGCCACACCTCTTTTCGATTTGTCTCCTTTCGTCCCTACGCCCGCTTAGCCCCCACACGCTCGGGCGTTTTGCTTGGACTGTGGGGAAAAGTAGAGGCATGGGGCCGCATCTCCCTACCTCTTTTTTCACCGGACCGTATTTGTCCAGTGTATCGTTCCTCCAGTATTTACACACTGGACCCTTCCATTAGAAGGCGCCTTGCATTGCAATTGCACCAGTATGCAGTCTGAAGTTGTTTCAAGGTAGGGTAGGATTGGCCTGTCCAATCCCTGAGGTTGTTTCACCTTACATGCTGAGAGTGTCTCACTACCCTGCTTCTGCTCGCCTGCGTTGCGTGCCCTCTGTGCGTGTTCCTTCCCCTCTTCCTGTGTGCCCCACTCTGAGCCTGTACCCTGCGCCATGCAATGCAATGCAATGCAATGCAATGCCATGCCACGCACTGCCACGCAATGCGCTGTGCACCCGCTTGCATGGCATGCTGTCTGTGAGGACAAGCAGGGCGTTTGAGATAATGAAGCAGCAGGTGCGCCAGAGGCACATGGTGTGGAACGGCTACGAGCAGGCCGTGCCTCTCTCCCATACCGCCGTGCACCAGGTCCGTCCACCTTTCTTCACCTCACTCCACCTCTCACTCACCTCACTCCACCTTGCTATAACAGGGGCGGGGCGGCAGGTGGGTGGGGTGGGGGGAAACGGTTTCTCAACAGTGCATCTATTTTCTCCCGTTCCATTGCACACATTTCCCCAGCCTGCTTTGCTGGTTCATCGTCACAAGCCCTGATGCTGCTGATCCTGAAACGCTCAAACGCTCATCAAACGCTCATCTCCAATGTTCCCTCCCACGCTCCCCGTATATCTAGCACCCCTCCCTCCCTCCCTCACACACTGCCCCTGTCGAGTGGGCGCTGTGCAATGCAAGTGGTTTTTGCACTATCTCATCAAACCTCGCCTTATTACGATGACTTTCGCCTCAAAGGAAGGCTTTAAACCTAACTCAATTCTCGCCGCAAATACCATGTCCCTCAACACACACGTCTCGACCTTCTCGTTTCCATCCTGCGATTGTTTGAGACACCTCGAAGAAACACGCCTCTCGCCTTTCTCTGTTCCGTGCCCGCCTGACAGGTGGAGCATGCAGAGACAGCAGAGGAGGCGTGGAAAGCAATTGGGCAGGACTACTGGGTGGTCACGCCCTGCTACAGCACTGCTCGACCAGGGTGAGCAAAATCGATGCTATAGCACTGCTCACTTAGGCTGAGCGGAAAGCCACTCTGGGGGAATGTGTTTTCTGAGGTACATTACTTTCACAGCTTGTGGTGCGCTAGATGAACCATTTCTCCGCTGTGCTCGTTGTTCTGGTTGCTTTGAACTAACTGCAGTGCTGCCTCCTCTGCTACCCGCTACCTTACACCACGCATGCACCTTATCTCATCCTCTCACACCTCCCCCTCTGATCCCACATGTCCTCCCCCTCCATCCCCCCCTGCCTCTGCCCCAACTCCGCCCCCTCCCTCTCCCCCACTCTCCCCCACGTCCACCCACCCCCTCTCTCCCTGCTCTCATCCGCAATGTTCCTCGCCCCTGTCCCTCCTGCCTGCCTGATCCTACTCCACTCCGTTGTCTGGCTTGCCCCCATGGCCTCATGGCATTGCCTCGGCTACAACTGCCAGGGTCGTGATGAACGGCACTCGACTCACTATGGTCAAGACGTATGTTACCATTGACCCCTATCATCAAGCCCTACGTTCCTCACATCCACTACCCTATCCCCACCAACCTATCATTCCTACCATCCACCTTCCACCCATCTTTTCCGGTTCCATCTCTCCTGCTTCTGTTGCCCTAGCTATTCCAGCAGTACTGCATGTGATGTCCTTTCTTTTCGCCTCTTTCCTTGCCGGTGCACCATGTGTAGTAAGTCGATTTTTGAGTCGACTAAAAAATGTACCATGTGCATTCGTGAGTGATTACATGAGCGTGCGCATGGACATGCAGACGTTCATGCACACACATGTGCTTGCATCTATATACTCATCTTTCCGTCTTAACAATCAATATCCTTCGACCACCTGCTCATATCACTTCACCTAACCCAACACACCCTTCATCCATCCCCACCCCACACCATCCATTCCGCATCCCTCATTCCCCACTCCCCACTTTCCTCCAAATCCCCTCCTTTCCCTTTACCCCTCACACCTTCCACCTCACCCCTTCCCTTTGCTCCCACCCTCCCACCTCCCCTGCTCCCCTGCCCCCTCCCTCTATCAGCCCCACCTACTATGAGTTTTCTATCAAGACTCCTGTCGTTCCCACCCGCTGGGACGAGTACGATTTCGAGATGGAAACCGCTTGGAAGGTGCTATCCTCTGCACACTCTTCAACCCCACCTCTTGTCGTTCTGCTGCAATCCCCCGTTGCTGTCCTCTCACCTCCTTGCAAAAATATTGAAATCCCCAATGGCATTTGGATCTAACTCACTGCACTCCATCTCAAATCCATGCCCATCCTGGTCTCTTACTCTGTGAGCCATCTCAGAACTCACTCCATGTGTATGTGCATGCGTGCTTGTGTGTGTGTGCGTGCGTGCGTGCGTGCGTGCGTGCGTGCGTGCGTGCGTGCGTGCGTGTGTGAATGCGTGCGTGCGTGCGTGTGTGAATGCGTGTGTGAATGCGTGCGTGCGTGCATGCGTGCGTGCATGTGTGAATGCGTGCGTGCGTGCGTGCGTGCGTGTGTGAATGCGTGCGTGCGTGCGTGCGTGTGTGAATGTGTGCGTGCGTGCGTGTGTGAATGCGTGCGTGCGTGCGTGCGTGTGTGAATGCGTGCGTGCGTGCGTGCGTGCGTGCGTGCGTGTGTGAATGCGTGCGTGCGTGTGTGAATGCGTGCGTGCGTGCGTGTGTGAATGCGTGCGTGCGTGCGTGCGTGTGTGAATGCGTGTGTGCGTGCGTGCGTGCGTGTGTGAATGCGTGCGTGCGTGCGTGCGTGCGTGTGTGAATGCGTGCGTGCGTGCGTGCGTGTGTGTGTGAATGCGTGCGTGCGTGCGTGCGTGCGTGCGTGCGTGCGTGCGTGTGTGAATGCGTGCGTGCGTGCGTGCGTGCGTGCGTGTGTGAATGCGTGCGTGCGTGCGTGTGCGTGTGTGAATGCGTGCGTGCGTGCGTGCGTGCGTGCGTGTGTGAATGCGTGCGTGTGTGTGTGAATGCATGCCATGGTGTGTGCAGGATCTATGCGAGGGGTATCTCGATGATTCCCTGAAAGCATCGGATGTCGACGCGTATAGAAGGCGAATCCACCATGCCATACTTCGCATGGGCTTCTATTGGTCAGTCCGATCATTCATGGTATTCAATCTTTACTGCTGGGTTTCTATCATTAGCTGTGCTGTGCTGGCCTCTATCTTTGTTTGTGACTGACTGCTCTGATAGAGAACCACGCGATCCTCATCGTGAGAATACGGCTTCCATATTGGTTTGCTGTTATCTCTCCTAGTGAAAGCCGTATCGTCATGCTCGTCTCTCCTCCTCCCCATCTCCCCCCCGTCCCCATCTCTCCGCCCTTGTGCCGATGCTGCCTCTCCCTGTGCACCATGCCACTGCATGCCGTATGCACCAACCCCATGTGCATTCGTGCAGGTACAACTTCATGCCCATGGCGCGAGGAACGGCCATGGTGGGCTATGTGTCCATGCTGGGACTCTTCGCTGCGGCAGACATGCATGTCACAGCAGACATTCCCAAGGGAGCCCAGGTCAGGCCCTCTCTCTATTTTGCATGCGCCTCAGACCTAGATTCTCCGCTGCAGCAGACATGCATGTCACAGCTGGCATCCCCAAGGGAGCTCAGGTCTGGCCCTCGTATCTGTCATAATCATTTCAGTGGCTGTTTCTGCATCTTTCTCTCTGAAGTTCACGCGTTGTGCATGTGCACGGCACCTGTATTCCTGCAAAACCCCCTTCACCCCCTCTCACTCCCCCTCTTCTCCCCCTCCCCTCCCCTTTCCCCCCCAAACCTCCCTGGCACCCCCCCCCCCTGCTTCCATCTCTTCCCACCTGCATTGGCCAGGTTGACTGGGAGGGCATTCTAACCCCACGAGCCGAAGATTTCATTGCATCCCTATCGGAATGGATGCTGCCCTCCATTGATTACAGTTCCCCTGTTTTCACTAATTTGGCGCACATCACTGTGGCAGACGCCCTCCCAACCCTGCTGGATGTCATAAATGCTCTAAGCTTTCATGAAGAGGACAAAAACATAGTATAATGACGATCACCACTTGCCGTAACAATGATACATATACAGTATTGTTGGTGTACCTATCATCAAACAGTCCCCTTTTAAAATGCAATCGGCAGCAACACCTTAGGCACTGAAGGCAATGGGAGTGGTGGTGGTGGAAGGGTGTAGGAGACGTGATTGTGTGCAGTAATTTTGAACGGAATTATGGTCGCTTTGGTTTTAGGCCGGAATTCTTTGTTGGGGCAATTCTCTATGCCATGCGCAATCAAAATGATATGAAAGTACTGTACACTGCTAGGCTACTGGTACTTGTAAAGGGGGCAGGGGAAAAAACCTCAGAATGCATCTTGTCGTTACAGGAGCACTAAAAATACTACAGATGCTGATAGCTAGTAAATGGAACATCTAGTGCAGTAAAAAAATTATTGCTTTACTATACCATCCTACGAAAGTATCCACTTCACAGAAAACAAATAGAAATAAAAGCAGATCTCCAAGGGAGCAATATTTCTACAGTACCATAGGCAGACTGCAACTGTCCCACTAAATTGCCCCAAATCAAATCACAAGACCAGCAATCAGGCAGGGCAGAACCAGAGAGTGGCAGTGCCCCTACAAGCACCTGAACATGCACCTGAGCAAACATAAGGACGAGCACAAGAAGCATACTACATGTAACCAGCGTCCTAAGAGTCTTGCTCGAGGAAATAAAGCAAGGGCTTTTCTTTCCAAGTGGGGAAAAAAGCAGAAATATACGGACGACTAGAAGTGGCACTTGCACGTCTGCCTACAGCACAGTAGCAGCAGCGGTGACCTGACAAGGCCAGATCATGAGCTCAGAGCAGTTCCACTGCTGCTCCTCCCCTCCCCGCCCCTTGATCTTACCTCCCGTCACAACCAACACCAAGGAAACTCCCAAGGCCTCTAAAGGCCTTCTAAGGGCTCCAAAGGGTTCGGTTCCTTCTAAGGGGATATGACAGCAGAAACGCCCGAGAGAGGTACAGCAGGTTCGTCATTAGGAGCCGTAGAGGTGACAGCAGAGGCAGGTGACAGCAGAGGCAGGTGACAGCAGAGGCAGGTGACAGCAGAGGCAGGTGACAGCAGAGGCAGGTGACAGCAGAGGCAGGTGACAGTGGAGACAGCAGAAGAGTCGAGTCGAGATGGCACGAGGAGGAGGTTGGTCACCAGGTGCGGCGGTGTGGCAGGCAGCGGTGGTAGAGGTGCTCGTACTGCCTGCTGGACTGCTCCCACCCGAAATCCATCGCCATGGTGTGTGCCACTACTAGCTGCACCCACCACTCCCGCCGCTCGAGTTGGTCACCAGGTGCGGCGGTGAGGAAGGCAGCGGTGGTAGAGGTGCTCGTACTGCCTGCTGGACTGCTCCCATCCAAAGTCCATGGCCATGGTGTGCACCACCAGCTGCACCCACCACTCGCGCCGCTCGTAGTACGCCGTTATGGCTCGGTCGAGAGCGTAGTTGAGCGCCTGGAGACCAACACACATACACATACACACATACACATACACAGATACACATACACACATACACACACATACACACATACACGCACACATACACACACACACATACACACATATACGCACACATACACATACACAGACACATACACACATACACACACATACACACATACACGCACACATACACATACAGACACACATAAACACACACACACATACACACATACACACACACACACATACACATACACATACACACACACACACATAGACACACACACACACACATACACACACACACACATACACACACACATACACACACACACACATACACACACACACATACACACACACACACATACACACACACACACACACATACACACACACCCACACATACATTCATGGATGGGGCACACGTGGGGACGGGTGAGGTGAGGATGGGTTGGACGAGACGAGGAAGGGGGAGTGAAGTTCATGGAATATGCTGGAGCGAAAAACGGAGTAAGTGTGATAGCACAGTCTAACGCGTAGTTCAATGCCTACACGCAAGCATTGACACGCAAGCATAGAGACACACGCACTCAACCACACGTAAAACGGTGAGTCGGTAGAGGGCTCACATTGACATCGCTGGCAGTGAAGCTGAAGCCATTGCGCTTCTCCACAGGGATGGATGGGTCGTCCACATCGAAGACACTGCGCCCATGGCAAATACGCACAGGATGCACACAGGGGAGGACGAGAGGGGGCGAGTGGACCCCACAGGAAGGAATGATGCAGAGCGGGGAGCGATGAGTTTATCTGTGCGTTGAAGCAGGGGGGAGCGCTCGATTGACGAATGGCACAAGTAAAACAAACGCGCTAATGGGAGATTAGCAGCAGTGAGTGGGTGGGTGGGTGGGTGGGTGGAGGGGAGTCGAGGAGAGGGGAGAAGGGGATGTGTGGAAATGGTGGATGTATGCAAGCAAGGGGTGCATGTGGAGGGTGGAGGTGGGGGTGGAGAGGGAGAGAGTGAGGGAAGGGGGAAGGAGAGGAAGCGCCCGGCATACCTGTCTGCGAGCCCGCCTGTCTTGCGTACGATTGGTATGGAACCATAGCGCATCGCAATCAACTGATGACGTGGCATGGGATGGGAGGAGATGGCATGGGATGGGAGGGGATGGGAGGGGATGGGAGGAGGGGGTAAGTGAGTAGAGGGGTACGCTTGTGGTCACAAAAACATGGAAGCAGTCATACGCACATACATATGCACAGACATGCACATGCATACCAATACACAGACACATGCACACATTCATTCTATGCGTGCTAACACAGGCAGAAACATCCAGTCACCAAGAAACAAGGCAACCAAGTCTCCACAAGATTCATTTCAAATGGCAACCCTCTGCATTCACACACGCGTCTATCATTCCTCTTCCACCAGTACTGCATCCCCACCACACCACACCACACCACACCACACCACACCACACCACACCACAGCACAGCACAGCACAGCACAGCACAGCACAGCACAGCACAGCACAGCACAGCACAGCACAGCACAGCACAGCACAGCACCGCATTCCCCCCAACCAAGCACACATGCACCCAGCCCAGAGGCAGGCAGGCAGGCAGGCACGCACCTGGGTGAGGCCGCAGGGTTCGAAGATGGAGGGGATGATGAAGAGGTCGGAGCCGGCGTAGATGAGGTGCGAGAGGCTCTCATCGTACTTGAGCACCAGCCGGATGTTGGGGTCGCTGCTGAACTGCCGCTCTATGCCCTCAAAGTCCTTCTGCACGGGGGGAGAACGAGGGGGGAGGGGAAAAGAGAAACATGGGGAGGAGGGGAAGGAGGGGGAGGGGGGGGAGGGAGGGAACACGGAAGACAAACAGTTAGATGTGAGCTAGGGGCGAGGTGAGCGATTTCTAAAAGCGAAGGGGTTAACAAGGAGGAGAGAAAGAAGAGGAGGGGAGTAAAAGGGATAAGAAGCGCACGACTTGAGAATGGACGGCATGCGATATGGGCCAGCAGCAGGGGCGGCACTCAAGACCCACCTGGATGTCGGGCACGGGGCTGGACTGGAGCCGAGCAGCACAAACTGGCCTTTGAGTCCACTCAAAACGAAATGACTTTTGAGTCGACTCAAAAGTCACCTGGATGGCAATGGCCTTCCACGACGCACCTGGATGGCAATGGCCTTCCACGACGCACCTGGATGTCGGGCACGGGGCATTCACAAACAACCCAGCATGGGGCACTCAAGGCGCACCTGGATGTCGGGCACGGGGCTGGAGCCGAGCAGCACAAACTGGCCGCCACGTTCCAGCGTGCGGTAGATGGCGTGGCGGATGAGGTGCACTCCCTTCTGCGGCACCAGACGCGTGATGCACCCCACCTGGTCACCATGGGGAGAGAAGAGAGATGGAAAAAGTGGAGAGATGAGAAGAGAGATGAGATGTGCATGCTGTGAGGGTAGATGGCGTGGCGGATGAGGTGCACTCCCTTCTGTGGCACCAGCCGAGTGATGCACCCCACCTGCCCATAAGTTGGGAAGAGGAGAGATGGAAAGAGATGAGATGAGCATACATATACAGGGGCGAAGCGCCTGCTTTTTCCTCCACTCCACCCCGCTCAGAAACAAAGAGCAGAGATACATGACAACTTTCCATGTTACCGCCTGCTTTCCTCTTCCCCGCTCTGGCTTCACTTCCCCTTCCTTTTCCCTTCTCTCTCCCTCGTCCGCGCCCCCTCTCCCCCTCAACCTCCTCTCCCCACACAGACACAGACACAATCACACAAAAACACACGCTCACTCACACACCACACACAACCCATCCGCACCCAACTCACCAGCGGCTTGTGTGCATCAGGCCCTGAGGACGACAGCCCAAGCATGGACTTGAGATACGCCTTGTTCTCCGCCTTGCCCTCGGGCTCAGCGGCGCTGTAGGGGCAGCAGAGCAGCGGGTCTGTGGCCGGATCCCACACCTCTGAGTCAATCCCGTTCAGCACACCAAAGAACTTCTTCTCGTGCTGCCCCAGCGTGAGGTGCAGCCCTCGCCCGCCCTGCGGGGTGTTTGGAGGGGAAGGGAGCGGGGAGGGAGGGAGTGAGAGAGTGAGGGAGTGAGGTAACTTTTGAGTCGACTCAAACTTCTTCTCGTGCTGCCCCAGCGTCAGGTGCAGCCCTCGCCCGCCCTGCGGGGTGTTCATGGGGGAAGGGGGAGGTTGAGGGGGGGATGGTGGGGACGGAAGAGCCAAGGGAGTAAGTTGAGAGATGGAGCAAAAAAGAGAAAGCTGGGGCTGGACGGTGGATGTACGGAAAACGAGGAGGGAGGGGGGGTGCTTGCTTGGATGATCTCCCAGATGCTCCACTCCACCTGCAACAACCCCTTTTTTTTGTTGCAAATACGCTGACACCCACACCCTCATGCTCATCCACCCACTCGTCCACTCAACTCGCTCGCACTGCTCGCCTTCTTTCTCCCAACCCAACCCATCCCCTCACTCACCATCCCGTGCCGTGCCATCCCACCCCCATGCACCCTGCTACTTCTCCCACTTCTTCTCCCCAAAAACCACCTCCCACCCACACCCCCTCCGCTTCCCTCCAGGCCCCACTGCTCGCCAGTTACACTCACCTCGGGCCCTCTGACTTCCATGGCGTATGTTGGGGACACGGTGGTAACCACTCCTGAAAACACAATGCCCGCCTGCGCCATGTGCAAGGGGGGATTAGGGGAAATAGGGAAGGGGAGAAAGGGGCGGGGAAAGGAAGGGGATGGAGAAAAGGGGAATGCGAGAGGCAATTAGAGAAGGGAAGGCGGGAAAATAAAAGGAGATTTTTTTTAGAGAAAGCATGGCATTGGCACTTAAGCAGGTAAGAGAGACGCTTTCTGAGGCGCCTTAAACCCAACCCAACCAGCCAACCAACTCAAGAAAACCCTCCTCCCCTTCCCCCACCACCCCCCCCCACCCCCCCCCCGCCTTGAGCAGGTTCAAGTTATCGTGCATGAAGTTATCTCGCATGCGCTCCGCCACGTTGTAGGTAGGTAGAGAGTCGCTTCCTGAGGCGCCTCAGAGACCAACCAACCAACCAGCTACCCAAGCACAGCAACTTCTCCCCCCACCCACCCACCTTGAGCAGGTTGACTCTATCGTGCATGAAGTTATCCCTCATGCGCCCCGCCACGTTGCAAGTAGAGAGACGCTTCCTGAGGCGCCTCAGACACCAACCAACAACCAGCTACCCAAGCACAGCAACCCTCCCCCCCCCCTCACACGCACCTTGAGCAGGTTGACTCTGTCGTGCATGAAGTTATCTCGCAAGCGCTCCGCCACATTGTAGGTAGGTAGAGAGACGCTTCCTGAGGCGCCTCAGATCAGATCAACCAGCCACCCAAGCAGTAGAGGCCACCCACCCAGCCCACCCACCCACGCACCTTGAGCAGGTTGACTCTATCGTGCGTGAAGTTATCCCGCATGCGCTCCGCCACGTTGTGCCGGCTCACGTCCAGCCCGCAGGCAGCGAGCGCACTGGCTTGCTCCGACCCCTGGTACTCAAAGTTGTGGCACGTGAACGCCAGCTGCGCCGAGTTGAGGCCCTTGGGCACATACACGTCCCAGTACAGCGGCGCCTGGAGGAGGAAAAGAGGGGGGGAGAGGGGGTGTGGATGGGGGTGTGTCAGAGGAGGTGGGATTTAAGAGGCGACATGGGGAGCAGATTGAGAGCTGAGTTGAGCCCCTTAGGCACATACACATCCCAGTACAGCGGCGCCTGGGGGGAGGGGAGAGGAGAGGGGGGTGTGGATGGGGGTGTGTCAGAGGAGGTGGGATTTAAGAGGCGACATGGGGAGCAGATTGAGAGCTGAGTTGAGCCCCTTAGGCACATACACATCCCAGTACAGCGGCGCCTGGGGGGAGGGGAGAGGAGAGGGGGGTGTGGATGGGGGTGTGTCGGAGGTGGAAATCAAGAGGCGAAATGGGGAGCAGATTGAGAGCTGAGCTGAGCCCCTTGGGCACATACACGTCCCAGTACAGTGGCGCCTGGGGGGAAGGAGCGGAGGGGGAGTGGGAAAAGCGTGGAGGAGGGAAAGGGGGGGCGGGGGGGATTGGGGCCGAATTGGTTGGCGAACCCAGTGGCAAATTAGGGGGCAGATCGGCGCGGGGGGGAGGGGGGTGATTGAGTTGAGAGTGAGTTGGGGGGCGAGTTGCGAAAGAGGAGGAAGAAGGTGCACGTACCACAACAGCAGTCTGCCAGTCGTGCGTGTGGATGATGATATCTGGGCGCTTGTGCGACCAACCCTGCTTTACAACACATTCCCTTTTGGGGGGCAGCCCAGCAACACACGTACCACAACAGCAGTCTGCCAGTCGTGCGTGTGGATGATGATATCTGGGCGCTTGTGCGACCAAGCCCAGCTATACTACACATTCATTCACAAGCCCAGCAATGCTACGCACGTACCACAACAGCCGTCTGCCAGTCGTGTGTGTGGATGATGTCGGGGCGCTTGTGCGAGACGTAGAGGAGCTTCACAACACATTGCTCTCCAGTCCAACCATATAAAAGTCCACCCCAGCCCAGCACACACGTTACACGTACCACAACGGCGGTCTGCCAGTCGTGTGTGTGGATGATGTCGGGGCGCTTGTGCGAGACGTAGAGGAACTCGAGTGCAGCGCGGCAGAAGAGTGTGAAGCGCCGGAAGTCGTCGTTGCACCCGTAGAACGTGCCGCGCCAGAACATGCGCGCGGGGTGCAGGGGCTCTATGAAGTACACAGGCAGCCCTGCATGGGGGGTGTGTGGGAGAAGGGGGGAGGATGGGAAAGATGGGCAGGAACGGGGGAGGGGTTCAGGTGAGTGTGAGACTGTGGAAAGTATGGAGTTGTATCCTAATGGACAATCCGATCCGAGCGGACGAAGAAAGAGAGAAATCGGGAAGGATGTGTGAGATATGTGGCTCACTTTCTGCCGCTCTGCCCGATGCTGCTGCGAGTTTTGAGACGTCTCAAAACTGGATGTGTGAGACAATGTGACCCTATCTGCCTCTCTGCCCAATGCTTCTGCGTGGTGGTGGTTTGTGTGTCCAATCTTACCTTCCACCATGCCCCTCCATATCTTGCAAGCGTGCATTTCATTGTCAAAAAAGGACGAGAACTTGAGGTCCAATGGCTGCTCACGGCATAGCAGGGCAGGGCACAACACAGCAGGGAAGGACACAGCAGGGCACGGCAGGGCAGGACAGAACAGGGTGCAGAGGAGCGGGGCAGGGCAGGATGCAGAGGATGATGATGAAGGCGGGATACGACCAACACGATAGCGGGCAATGCATGGGGGAAAGGGAGTCGTGGTGGGGGAGAGGCGGGGTGGTGAAAGAGAAGGTGGAAGGGGGAAGGGATGAGGGGGAGGGGAAAGGGAAGAGGGGGAGAGAATAAAAGGAAAGAAAAAGGTCACACGGATGGATGAAAGGGCGAAGCTGAAGAGTAACCACTGAAGAAAAAGCGGAGCGTGCCGCGGAAACCCATCCATCCCCACTTGCACCCTCCCATCCATCTCCACCATGCACGCAGCACACAATAAGCGAGTGCACGCGCACAAGCACGCACACATGCGCACCTTGAGGTCGTTGATGCGGGAGTAGTCCATGCAGTCGTACTTGGGCAGAATTATCTCCACCAGGTGCCCCCTGCGCTGCAGCGCCTTCGACAGCCCCGTGATCACGTCCGCTAGCCCTCCCACCTGCCATACCGCATGCCCACGCACACACACACACACACACACACACACACATGCACGCACATGCACACACACACACACACACACACACACACACACTCACACACATGCACGCACATGCACACACACACACACACACACACACACACACACACACGTGCATAGAGGCGCACATGCAAACACACACGCATGCACATGCACGCACAACAAAACGAGTAAAGACAGACCCATGGGTTTGCGCATGGACAAAGACCCACCAACAGCTTAAAACAGCATGTGCCCTTTCCTCCTTCCTCTCCTCCCTTCCACCCTCCAACATATTTCCCTCCAACATATTTCCCTCCAACATATTTCCCTCCAACATATTTCCCTCCAACATATTTCCCTCCAACATATTTCCCTCCAACATATTTCCCTCCAACATATTTCCCTCCAACATATTTCCCTCCAACATATTTCCCTCCAACATATTTCCCTCCAACACATTTCCCTCCAACATATTTCCCTCCAACATATTTCCCTCCAACATATTTCCCTCCAACATATTTCCCTCCAACATATTTCCCTCCAACATATTTCCCTCCAACATATTTCCCTCCAACATATTTCCCTCCAACATATTTCCCTCCAACATATTTCCCTCCAACATATTTCCCTCCAACATATTTCCCTCCAACATATTCCCTCCAACATATTTCCCTCCAACATATTTCCCTCCAACATATTTCCCTCCAACATATTTCCCTCCAACATATTTCCCTCCAACATATTTCCCTCCAACATATTTCCCTCCAACATATTTCCCTCCAACATATTTCCCTCCAACATATTTCCCTCCAACATATTTCCCTCCAACATATTTCCCTCCAACATATTTCCCTCCAACATATTTCCCTCCAACATATTTCCCTCCAACATATTTCCCTCCAACATATTTCCCTCCAACATATTTCCCTCCAACATATTTCCCTCCAACATATTTCCCTCCAACATATTTCCCTCCAACATATTTCCCTCCAACATATTTCCCTCCAACATATTTCCCTCCAACATATTTCCCTCCAACATATTTCCCTCCAACATATTTCCCTCCAACATATTTCCCTCCAACATATTTCCCTCCAACATATTTCCCTCCAACATATTTCCCTCCAACATATTTCCCTCCAACATATTTCCCTCCAACATATTTCCCTCCAACATATTTCCCTCCAACATATTTCCCTCCAACATATTTCCCTCCAACATATTTCCCTCCAACATATTTCCCTCCAACATATTTCCCTCCAACATATTTCCCTCCAACATATTTCCCTCCAACATATTTCCCTCCAACATATTTCCCTCCAACATATTTCCCTCCAACATATTTCCCTCCAACATATTTCCCTCCAACATATTTCCCTCCAACATATTTCCCTCCAACATATTTCCCTCCAACATATTTCCCTCCAACATATTTCCCTCCAACATATTTCCCTCCAACATATTTCCCTCCAACATATTTCCCTCCAACATATTTCCCTCCAACATATTTCCCTCCAACATATTTCCCTCCAACATATTTCCCTCCAACATATTTCCCTCCAACATATTTCCCTCCAACATATTTCCCTCCAACATATTTCCCTCCAACATATTTCCCTCCAACATATTTCCCTCCAACATATTTCCCTCCAACATATTTCCCTCCACATATTTCCCTCCAACATATTTCCCTCCAACATATTTCCTCCAACATATTTCCCTCCAACATATTTCCCTCCAACATATTTCCCTCCAACATATTCCCTCCAACATATTTCCCTCCAACATATTTCCCTTCCCTCCAACATATTTCCCTCCAACATATTTCCCTCCAACATATTTCCCTCCAACATATTTCCCTCCAACATATTTCCCTCCAACATATTTCCCTCCAACATATTTCCCTCCAACATATTTCCCTCCAACATATTTCCCTCCAACATATTTCCCCTCCAACATATTTCCCTCCAACATATTCCCTCCAACATATTTCCCTCCAACATATTTCCCTCCAACATATTTCCCTCCAACATATTTCCCTCCAACATATTTCCCTCCAACATATTTCCCTCCAACATATTTCCCTCCAACATATTTCCCTCCAACATATTTCCCTCCAACATATTTCCCTCCAACATATTTCCCTCCAACATATTTCCCTCCAACATATTTCCCTCCAACATATTTCCCTCCAACATATTTCCCTCCAACATATTTCCCTCCAACATATTTCCCTCCAACATATTTCCCTCCAACATATTTCCCTCCAACATATTTCCCTCCAACATATTTCCCTCCAACATATTTCCCTCCCCCATATGCTAGTGTGTTGGCGTTTGCCAAAGAGGGTACGCAACCTCTTGGTGAAAGCGAGGTTTCAGAAACGGGGATACACCAACCCCGTGAGTTGATGGGATTGAATTGGTCCCACCAACCTGCATGCTTGATTGACATTGTAAATTTTGTACAGCCAGCTAGCGAGCCGCGATGACGAGCCGCACTGGACTTCTTGGTTCTTGGTTGAGTGCTAGGCACGGTAGATGGGAGTAGATAAGGAGTGGTTTCTTTCATGTAACTCTGAGAGCGCTGATGAAGGCCACCGGCCGAAACGCGCGTACGCTCAGGTTTGAATGAAAATTTTCTTACCTATTCAATCCCTACTAGCCTAAGCTCAGCCTAGAGGAGATTAGGAGGAGATAAGGACGAGTTACCTGTTGGATCCAGGTCGAAACTGCTTTGCTATGCTACCCCAACAGACCCCACCCACCCATCCACATCCATCCCCCCACCCGCCCACCCCTCCCGCCCTCCCCCACCCTACACTCCTACCTTCGCCACAGGAGCCATTTCCGCTGCTATATGCACGACATGCAGGGGCGGCAGCGGCGGCTGCTCCCCTCCCAGCACGCCCCTCAGCGCTCCCGCCACCACCGCGTCCCTCCCCAGCACCGCGTCACTGTTCCCCCCCGCCGCCACAGCCTGCACCACCTCCGAGCCCCCTACAGAATCCCACGCGTCTCTGATTGCCTTCTCCCTCCGCCACGCCATGTCTCTCAACTCGTCCACCTCGTCAGTCGTCAGCACCCGCCGCAGCAGCAACTCGTCCAGCTTCAGTAGAAGAGAACTCCAGTACTCCCAAGGCAGCTCCCCTGCCGCAACCACAGCCGGTCGGTGCCACCTACCCCCACTGCTGCTGCTGCTGCTGCTGCTGCTGCTCCCACTGGTAACAAACCCGCTGGTCATGCCGCCCAGAGTCAGCTCACCCAGCGCGCCGGACGCGGCCGCTTCCTCCCACTGCGCCGCCACCGCCTCTGCATCCGCAGCCATCGCCGCCGCCTCTTCCGCCGCCGCTGTCGCCTCTTCCGCCCGGGCCCTATACACCTCCACGCTCTCATTCGCAGCATCTAAACTCTCCTGAAAAGCAGCCATCTGAGCCTCGTAAAGCTCTAGCTGAGCTCTCATCAGCTCGTCCGTTTTCATCAGCTCACTCCGCAACACGCCCACTTGGGCTCTATACGCCTCTGTCTCCTCTGCCAGTCGCCACCAGTCCTCCTTCTCCTCCTGCCGCTCCTCCTGCTCCCGCGCCCTCGCCGCCTCTGCCGCGGCCACCTCCTCTCTCAGCCTTGCCAGCTCCCCCTGAAGCTCCTCGTTCTGCTCTGCTACAGCCGCAGAGATTCTCTCCAGTCCCTCTGCCTCCTCAATCGCCGCCTGTAGCAGGCTGATTTCCGCCTCTACCTTTGCCACCATCTCCTGCTTCCGCTCCAGCTCCCCCACCCGCTCCTGCGCCTGCTGCAGCTGCAGCACCAGCTGCTGCCGCTGCTCCTCCCTCTCCCTCTCCTCCTCCTCCGTCAACTGAACCACCAACTCTTTCTTCTCCTCTGCTTCCTCCATCTCCTGCTGTAGCGCTGCTAGCTGCGCCCGCAGGTCCGCATTCTCCCCGCGGACCTCCCCCAGCCACCCTTCCGTCCGCTGCACCACCTCCTCCAGTTTCCCCCTAGCCGCCTCAACCTCCGCCACCTCCTGCTCCTTCCCCTGCAGCGCCTTCCGCATCTGCGCGGTTTCCTCCCCCAGCCGCGCCACCAGCGCGCGCAGCTCCTCCGCCTGCTCCTCCTGAAGCACCTCCACCTCCCCCTGCTTCGCCCGCACCACCTCCTCCGCCGCCTCCACCCGCCTCCGCAGCTCCCCCACCTCAGCCTCCGCGCGCTCCCTCTCCCGCTCCTTCTCCCCAACCCTTTCCGTCAGTTCATCCACTTCCTGTTTCAGCCGGGCCACTAGAGCCTCTCTCTCCTGTACTTCCTCCCCCACCACTGCTTCCCTCTCCTCCACCTCTCTCCTTAGCTTCCCTGCCACCTCCTCCAGCTCTCGCCTCAGCGCCTCCTCCCTCTCCTCCACCTCGGATTTCAACGCCGCGATTTCCCCATCCAGCCTCTCCCGCTCCTCCTCCGCCGCCCGCCTCCGCTCCCCCTCCTCCCGCACCGTCTCCCCCAGCTCCCCCACCTCCCGCTCCAGCCTCTCCCGCAGCCGCTCCACCTCCTCCTCGCGCTCCTGCACAGCCTGCGCCATCTCCGCCTCTTTCTCCGCCACCTTCCCCCGCAGATCCCCCACTTCCCGCTCCAGGAGCCCCTTAACCGCAACGGCATTCCCCAGCTCCTGCTCCTTAGCCTGAGACACCGCCAGTTCCGACTGCAGGCGCACCATCCTCTCAGTCAGCCCCTCCATCTCCTCCCTTAGCCTCCGCTCCACCTCCTCCGCGCGCCTCCGCGCGGCCTCCGCCTGCTTTATCCCCTCCTCCACCTCCCGCTGCAGCGCCTCGTTCCGCCCCTGCAGAATCTCCAGCCGCGCCTCCGCCTCCTCCCCGTCCTCCACGCGCGCGCGCAGCTCCGCCACCTGCTTCTCCAGCTCCCCCACCACCTCCTCCTCCGCCTCCTGCGCGCCTTCCCCCTCCCCGTCCCCGTCCCCCTCCCCCTCCCCCTCCCCCAGCTCCTCCACCTGCTCCTGCAGCACGCGCAGCTGCGTTTCCAGCAGGGAGCTGCGCTCGCGGCTCTGCACCGCCAGGTGGAGCTTCGCGTCCGCTTCCGCGATGCGCGCCTGGAAGATCCGCAGCTGGTTCTGCAGCCCGTCGTTCTGCATGCGCGCGTCTGACAGCTCCTCCAGCGCGCGCGACCGCACCCGGTTCAGCAGCAGAATGTCTGCACTCCCAGGGGTTCGGTTCGGTGGAGGGACGGAGGCGGAGCGGGAGGGGGAGCGGGGGAGGGGAGAAAGAAAGGCGGGTTGAAGGAGGTGGGGGAGAATGGGAGGAAAGAAGAGAGGAAATGGGAAAACCGGGGGGAACGGGGGGCGGGAGTCGGGAAAAGGGTGGGGGAACGAGGACGGGGTTTGAGAAAGTAGCGATGGGAAAACAGGAAGCGGGAGGGAGGCGGGGGGGGGTAAACAGAGAAGGGAGAAACGTGCTATGGCGTGACAAACCAGATGCCCCCACGTGCAAAGCATAGCAGGCCAGATGAGGTGACTTTTTAGTCGACTCAAAAGTCTCCCCCACGTGCAAAGCATAGCAGGCCAGATGGCACAGCGTGGTGGAGAGCGCGAGAGGCGGTTCGGAGTAACAGAATCCAAGCTGACTCGAGAAAAAAAAACTTTCGGCTTCTAACTCAAGACTCTAAAGTAACCTGGTGGGTGCACGCAGCACGCATATGGCACGCACACTCACACGCACTGCACACTCACTCACTGGACTCGGAGTCCTTAGTCATACCTGCCGATCAACTCGCCCAGCTCCGCCGATTTACTAAGCACCTCAGAAAAACAACCGCACGGGTGCATGCACATGCACGCAGGCAGCAGTGCAGTCACAGCAGGCAGCACGGCACACTCACTGGACTCGGCGTCTTTAATCATGCCAATCAGATCCCCCAGCTCCAACGACCGGTCCGTTTATCACTCACCGCAGGCAGCACAGCACTCACCGCAGGCAGCACAGCACTCACCGCAGGCAGCACGGCACACTCACTGGACTCGGCGTCTTTAATCATGCCAATCAGATCCCCCAGCTCCAACGACCGGTCCGTTTATCACTCACCGCAGGCAGCACAGCACTCACCGCAGGCAGCACAGCACTCACCGCAGGCAGCACAGCACTCACCGCAGGCAGCACGGCACACTCACTGGACTCGGCGTCTTTTATCATGCCAATCAGATCGCCCAGCTCCAACGACCGGTCCGCCTTCCCCGCAGAGCTCCCTCCACCGCTCGTACTCCCCCCGCCTCCCCCGCCGCCGCCGCCGCCACCACCAGCACCACTGCCACCGCCACTGCCACCGCCACCGTCGCCATCACCATCACTGTCAGCGCCAGGACTGTCATAGTCGGGCTGAGGGAGGGAGATGCGGAGCAGAGCAGAGCAGAGCAGAGCAGAGCAGAGCAGGGGAAAGAAGCAGTGACGGAGAGAATCAGCAAAGCGTGGGGTGGTGCAAGGAGGCAAAGAGTTGGAAGACTGGAAGTTAGCAATTTAAATAGATTGTGTTATATCAGAGTGCGTTATAGATCCTGCTGCATAGTGTTCGGTCACTGGTTATAGTTCACTGGTTAATCGATCACCTCTTACGGTTTGTATCAGAACAAGGAACGTGCGTACGAGCCTTCACGAGCTATAACATCCTTACTCCTTACCAGGCGACTCATCAACCCCAATACAACACAACACCGTTCCATCCCCATACCCACACGCATACACCCGGCTCGACCCAGCTCGTCACTCCAACCCTTAATCAGCCCCACCACCCGCACAGTTACGCCAACAAAGCACGCAGAGGTGGCGCACGCACGCACCATCTCTCAGCATACCTGACTGGCGATACCCTCAGCCAAGCTGGTCATAGACGGCCGCGCTCCACTCACACCCTCAACCAGCCCCACCACACACACACACACACACACAGCCACCACACGACGACAAAGCACACACACGTGTGGCGCACGCGCGCACCATCTCACAGCATACCTGACTGGCGATGCCCGCAGCCAGGCTCGCCATGGACAGCCGCGCAGCCATAACCGCCTCCTCGTTGCTCTCCGGATCATCCGCCTCCGCCTCGTCCCCCTCTCCGCCGTAACTATCCCCGCCACGCAATGATCCGTTACCAGGTGAACCAGATCGACCATCCACATCTGCTCTCCCCTCCTCCTCCTGCTCCTCCTCCTGCTGCTCCTGATCCTCTTCCCCAGCTCCCTCCGCCTCCTCCTCTTCCGATTTCGCGCCATCCACTTGCTGTCCACTTGCAGCAGCAGCAGCGCCACCATCAGCGCCATTCACAGCAGCAGCAGCAGGCACAGGACCGGGCAGCGGTGACGCATCAGAGGGTAATAACGCCCCTATTTCTCCTGTCGCCACTTGTGCTTTATTACTGCCACCATCACCGCTGCCAGCACCAATCGCACTGCTGCCCCCCATCTCTTCCGTCTCCCCTCCCCCCAATGCCTTCACATCGAATCCCCCGGCCAATGCCCCGACGGCCAATGCCGTTCCTCCGCCATCTGCCCCGCTGGCGGAACCCCCGAAGCCGAGCGCGCCCAAGCGTAGCCCCCCTGCGCCGCCGCGATCGACGCTACTGCTGCCGCCGCTGCCGCCGCTGCTGCTGCGGTTCCCGCCATTGCCGCCGCCTCCGCCGGGGTTGCTTACCAAGTTGCTCGCGTGCTTGCGCCCTCTGCCTCCCCCCCTTCCGCCGCCACCGGCCCTGCTACCCCTCGCGCTCTTGCTTCCGCTTCCGCTCCCGCTTCCGCTTCCGCCGTCGCTGTTCCCGCTCTGGCGCGCAGCGTCAGGGGAGACGGCGGGAAAAGGCGAGCTGAGCTCCGCGGAGGGGTTGGAGGATGGGCGGTGTCGGGGAGTGAACGGCTTCTTCGCGGGCAGTTGCTGACCGGGGGGGCTGCTGGGCGGAAATAGACGGCGGAAGTGGACGATGGGGGAAAAGGAACGAGGGAAAATGGATTGGGAAAATGGACGAAGGAAGGTAATGTGCAGGAAGGATGACATGATCGGCGGAACGCACGGCAATGGACGACATTTCTACAAGTCGTTGGAAACAAATGAGCAAGAACTCTGAAACAAAAACAAAAAAACAAAACAAAAAAACAACACACACACACACACACACACACACACACACACACACAAAACCTGGTTACGAACAGCTATAAGACCTCTATATTTAAGCTGTCTCTCCCGTATTCTTACTTGAGAACGGCCGAAACCGTGACGGCTCCCCGGTGCGTCTGCGTCTGCGTCTGCGTCTGCTGCAGCTGCTGCGGCGAGTGTGCAGCGGACCGCTGTGACAGTCTCCGCTCAATCCCACCGCCATCTACGCAGCCGTTAACACCCCATCCCAACGTCTGCTCCTGCCTGTCGCGGCGACCGAGGCAGCTATCACCCGCGCTAACAGCCCCGCCACACGGCCCATGAGTACGGCCACTGATGCCACCAGTGGCATTTGTAACACCGCTAGTAGCGCTATTTAGGACTAGTCTAGACCCACTAATGCCCGTTCTCCGGGACACGCCCATATCCCGGAGCCGATGGGTGCTGCCGGTTCCCGCCACCTGAGCGGTCGCAGCGGCGACGATTCCTCGTCGCAGAACGTACGACGGCCTCGCATGGTCTGATCGGGGCCGTCCGCCCAGCGCTTGAACCGACTCTAGACGAACCGTGACAGCAGTTTCCGGGAGCCATGCCGCACGTGGTGAACCGGCATGTAAACATGTCGAAGAGTGAACGATTGGCGACGCGTGTGCAACACCTGACGAGTGCACGGTTACGGCAGTCGAGGAACTTAGCCGCGTGGGTAGCGTCATCTCGCGCACCCAATTTTGCTGTGGCTCCTAGACGTTACTTAAGAGTCGCTAACAAGCCTTAATATCCGAGGCGGACGGTCAGATCGAGAAGGTTGGGTTTCGGCGACTTTTTAGAAGGGGACTTCGTGCGAAGTATAGGAGTGGATGGAACTGTGGAGAGAAAAAAAAATAACTGCTGGGGTATATTGGATTGGAAAAATAAACGTCCTCGGACAAATGCACGGGAACAGGGGAAAAAAAAAACGATATATTTCCTCAGGAGGAACAACTGGTGACGTTCACGAGGAGACGGCAGCAGGTGATCGGCGGACCAGGGGCATCGATTGCCAACAGCAGCACGACCGCATGCTTGCACGTCGCTCGAGCCTAGCTCTACGTTATCGCTGCGTTGCTAACTGCTGACAGATCGACACGGAAGCAAAGTTTGCAGACATGAGAACACAAGCTCTTGTTTGGTTCCGTTCAAGTGCTTGTGTTCGCAGTGACCAAGGATGCCTTGCAACATCTGTGGTGTATCGCTGGTGTTGTGCTGCGGGGGGAGTCAGGAGGATCGAGCAATCGAGACAGGACATCTCTGACCAAAAAGCTGGTTTGGGAGGTTTGGTGGCCTCAGCGTCGACCTGCACGGTATGGTTCGGTACCATATCTCATTGATACGGTGCCTTGCACAAGCGGGTGGTACGGTGAGGTGACTGGCGGGGAAGCAGGGGAGTGGAGGGGGGATAAGGCTGTGAACCCGCTCTGACGCTACGCGTTGGGGGAGAAGAGACCAGAAAGGAGTGAGATCACTGACGGGATGCGACGTGGTTCTGACATGGTTCTGGCCTCGGCGAATAGTGCGGGTTACCACCACAAAAGGGAGCCCTTTATTGCCACGTGGCTCAATCACCGATCAATCCGCACAGTTGAAAGACGGCGTTTGGCTGGGACTTTGGAACTTGCTGATTCTGCCATTGTGACATGGCTGGGGAGTCATGGCCATGGGGACTGAGATGAGAAGGACGGGGTCTGGTGGGGTCACATGGAGCAGCTTGGTGCCATGACAGCCATCGTTCATGCTCTCGTTCTACGGTTGTTGAGCAGGTGTGGCTGGTATTTTCTGCCGTCGGATGTGGATAAAGTCACCTGACGTGGATTATCTAAAGTCCTTGTCAACTTCCACAAGCGGCAGGGCCGTGTGCTTGGCTGGCTGATGTGTGCGTGGCAAAACGGCCACTTCATTAAAAGATCGCAGCACACAAAAACGAAGGAAACGACTTGAACTGTATATGCCATTAAGTTTCAACATCCAGTTAAACTGTATATGCCTCTCATATCCCCAGTCTATATATGCTTATCATAAAATGCATGTTGCACTTGCTCGAATGAAGGGTGCATTCCTAGGTTGACGCGTCCAAATATTAAACACTGTAAAAAATGTGCCACATCCGGCGACAGATAGGGCTCACCCCAAACATGTGGCACCAGGGCTTCGTTTTGGATTTTGCCTACTCACGATTGGCAGTGTAGCATTTTCAAAAACCCTTATGAGCAGTGTGTACATTACCATTACACTGATGGAGCAGTGTAACTTTAGTTTTTGATTTTTTTACCCCGCACCAGCAGTGTGGATATTTGTCGTACACTGACTGATTTTCGCAAAGAGTAAACTATTACAGTTAACATCTAGGCAATTAATTTATACAGTCATTCAATCACATGCGTGCTCGTCCTCGCTATCATCAGACGACTCAACTGTTGCCTTTCCTTTTCCTGAATAGGGCTTGTATGGGGCAGGTGTTTTCGCGGGTCTTCTCTTTTTTTGTTTCCGCCAAATCTCCACCACCTCGGACCATTTGTATTCGTAGTCCAGCATGTTGAGAATCATCAGCTCGGATAGACGGGCGTCGGCAAGCGACGTCCGCATCCGGCTTTTGCTGACATTTTGTCGGCTAAATCCGCGATCGCACTCCACGGTGCTTAGCGGAATCACTGCCAGCGCCTGCCACATGGACACCAGGTTGGGGAAGCTGCGTGGCCAGTCCTTTGTCTTCATCATCTTGGCAAGCCCTTGGTAGAAGTCTTCGTCCTCGTAGTGGCGGGACATGACGTGGCAGAAGCTTTTCAGTTCCAGCTCTGCCGCACGGTGGTTGAAGCCTGCCACGTAAACATAAAACAAAACTCATTTCTCCTTGAACAGTAACAGACATGGCAACAACAAACATCACATCCAGCTAAATGTAGAAACTACGTGTGCAACACCTCACCTGGCAGCCGGTTGTTGAAGAGACGCGCGTTGGCATCCAGCCAACTCACCACCCGACGCTCCCGCTTCTCTGTCGCATCTGGCCACGTCTCAACTTTGTAAAGCCTGCTGCCCTCCATCTGGTTCAGGCTGTGCTTGCGGTTGTGAAGGCCTGTCGCCACCTCCAGCGCGAACGCCTTGCAGAGCTTGATGCAGTCGGGCATCGAGCCGCCGTACTTGTGTCCGGGAAGCGGCGCCTCGCTCAGCTCGATCTCATGCGAGGTTGGCTCGCCCTCCGCATCCATGCCGTCCACTTTGATCGTTCGTTTCCCGCTGGCGAGCCGTGCGATGAATGGCGACAGCTTGCTGACTCCCCCTCCGAAAGTGGTGTCGTATTCCACGTAGCGCATCCTGATGTAGCCAATCGTGCGGTCCACCTCTTGGTGCACGAGCGTGATGTCAACCTGAAACAGTGGCGGGCACAGTAACAAATCAGTTTTGGTTAGAGTGTAGTCATGATTGGCAAATTGAAATTGCATTAACCATCAACACTAAACAAATTACTTACTTTCCGTCGCTGGAAAAACCGGTTGAGAGCGTTGATCTCAGCTAGAAGATCCGCCAAGAAGAAGAGGCAGAAGTGAAATTTCAACGACTGAACAACGGCGGCCATCTTGTGGTTGTACTCTAGGAAAACCACAATCGCTGCCCCAAGTGTCAAACATATATGATATAGCCTGTTTAGGCTGTAGTGGGTTAGACCTTACAGCTTTCTAGGTTTTCCTATTTGTACCCATCTCATTCCTAGTTCATCCACTTCCTCGTTCTTATTCTGACATGGTATTAGAGCAGAATCGTTCCTAGGGCCCACCGAACGTCCCGCCCTGCCCTAACTGATTTTTTTTTTTTTTTTTTTAGCTGCCCCTGCGGCCGCGCTGCCCTTGCAGCCCGCGTGCTGCCCCTGCGACCGTGCTGCCACTGCAGCCGTGCCTGCCCCTGCAGCTGTGCCTGCCCCTGCAGCCGTGCCTGCCTCTGCAGCCCGTGGGAGCTGCCCCTGCAGCCCGCGCGCCGCCCTCCCGAGCAGCTGTGCCTGCCCCTGCAGCCGTGCGCTGCCCCTGCAGCCCGTGGGCGCTGCCCCTGCAGCCGTGCCTGCCTCTGCAGCCCGTGGGAGCTGCCTCTGCAGCCCGCGTGCCGCCCTAAAACGGGCTCGTCGCGACGCCCCTGCGGGACCCGCGCGGCGTCCCCCTCCTGCTCGTCGCGGCGCCCCCAGGGCGTCGCCCCTGCTCGTCACGGCGCCCCCCTGGGCGTCGTCCCTGCTTGTCGCGACGTCCCCGGGCGTCGCCCCTGCTCGTCGCGGTGCCCCCTGGGCGCCGTCCCTGCTCGTCGCGACGCCCCCGCGGCGTCGCCCCTGCTCGTCGCGGCGCCCCCTGGGTGCCGTTCCCGTTCGTCGCGGCGCCCCCTGGGCGCCTTCCCTGCTCGTCGCGGCGCCCCCGCGGCGCCTTCCCTGCTCGTCGAGGCGCCCCCGGGGTGTCGCCCCTGCTCGTCGCGGCGCCCCCCCCCCCTGCAGCAGCTGCCTCGGAGCCCCGCCCTGCCGCAGCTGCCTCGGAGCCCCGCCCTGCAGCAGCTGCCGCGGAGCTCCGCCCTGCAGCAGCTGCCTCGGAGCCCCGCCCTGCAGCAACTGCCGCGGAGCCCCCCCCCCCCCCCCCCCCCCCCCCCCTTGCCGCCGTAGCGGCCCCGCCCTACAGCAGCTGCCGCGGAGCCGCCTGCAGTAGTCGCGGCCCCGCCCTGCAGCAGCTGCCGCGGAGCCCCCCCCTGCCGCAGTCGCGGCCCCGCCCTGCTGCAGCTGCCGCGGAGCCGCCTACAGCAGTCGTGGCCCCGCCCTGCAGCAGCTGCCGAGGGGCCCCCTGCCGCTGTCGCGGCCCCGCCCTGCAGCTGTCCCGGCCCCTCCGTCGCCGCCGTCGTGCGCCTACCATGCTCGCCCGGCGAGCGACTGCCCTTCCCGCCACTGGTGAGCACTTGCCCTACCCGCGCTTCCCGCGCGCCTGCCTTACTAGCGCGCTGCCACACTGCCCTGCCCGTGCTGCTACTACTGTTTCTGCTGCTGCTACTGCTGCTCCTGCTACTGCTGCTCCTGGCGGTGGCCAGATGCAGCTCCAGCGACGTCCGCGTGAGTCCCTCACGCCCCAGCAGCTACGTGAGTGGTACGCTAGTTGGGGTTGTAGGGGTGGCCGCGCTGCTACTGCTGCTACTGCTGTTACTGCGGCTACTACTGCTACTGCTGCTCCTGGCGGTGGCCAGATGCAGCTCCAGCGACGTCCGCGTGAGTCCCTCACGCCCCAGCAGCTTCGTGAGTGGTACGCTAGTTGGGGTTGTAGGGGTGGCCGTGGTGGGAGTCGCCCTGGAGCGGGTCGTTCGGGAGCTTCTTGTAGTGACCAGGTGCAGCGGCAGCGGCGTCCGCGCGCGGTCCTTTCGCCCCAGCAGCTTCGTGAGTGGTACGCTCAGAGTGGAGGGTCACGGAGTACTGCTCGCTGCCCGTACGTCATTCGCACTGGTGCTCGGGCTGGTCAGCCTTGCGGGAAGATTGGTCACACAGAGTCCCGCTGCTTCTCCCGTCTGAGCGACGCCTGGCGTACAGAGCTTGGCGACGCGTCTGAGCTCCCCGAGTGGGTGGAGCTGCTTAGGCAGAGGGTAGATATCTTTGCTCTTGACTATGATGCTATCCTCACTGCCATGTATGCGTTGCCTACTAGTGCTGAGGGTGCCTGTTACCTGTGTGTGCCGCCTGACCCAGGTATAGAGTCTGCTGCTCTAGGTGCTGGTGAGGCTGCTGCTCTAGGTGCTGGTGCGTCTCCTGCTCCAGGTGCCGGTGAGGCTGCTGCTCTAGGCACTAGGGAGTTCACTTCTCCAGGTGCTGGTGAGTCTGCTCTCTCTGGTACTACGCCTGCTGCGGCCTTGCACACTTTCACCCTTGACTCGGGTGCTTCCCGCTCCTTCTTTCGCGACTGTACCACACTCACGCCGCTCAGTCGGCCAGTGGCAGTCTCTCTGGCTGACCCCTCTAGGGGTCCGGTTCTTGCACACTCCTCCACGGTCCTGCCGTGTCCGGTGGTCCCGTCTGGCTCTCTGTCTGGCCTCCACCTCCCCTCGTTCTCCACGAACTTGGTGAGTGGATCTGACCTTCAGGACGTGTGGGTTGACCAGTTCACCCCTGGAGGTCAGCGGGTGACCCACTGTTCGTGTACTCGGACGGGCCGGCACCTGGCCACGTTCACCCGTCAGCCTGGGTCGAGCCTGTACACCCTGACTACCGTGTCTCCTCCGGTTGCTGAGTCTGGTCGGGTAGCCGCGTCGGGTCAGGTGTTTGCTGCAGCGTCCCGGTCTGGCCCTGAGTCTGCCCCCTGCTCGTGTCGCCTCCTGTCTCACGAGACTCTCCTTTGGCACCACCGCCTTGGTCACCCCTCCCTGCCTCGTCTACGAGGCATGACCTCCCGTGTCCTTGTCTCAGGTCTCCCCGAGTCCCGCCCTCCCCTTCCTCCGGGGCCTGCCCCTACCTGCGTTCCCTGCGTCGAGGGCCGGCAGCGCGCCGCCCCTCACTCCTCCGAGTTTCCTCCGACAGAGGCTCCCCTGCAGACTCTTCACATGGACGTGTGGGGCCCAGCCCGCGTCCGTGGACAGAGTCACGAGCGTTACTTCCTGCTAGTTGTTGACGACTACTCGCGTTACACCACGGTCTTCCCCTTGCGCCGCAAGGGTGAGGTCACTGAAGTGTTGATCGACTGGATCCGCGCTGCTCGTCTCCAGCTCAGAGAGAGTTTCGGCTCGGACTTCCCTGTTCTGCGTCTGCACTCAGACAGAGGTGGAGAGTTTTCCTCCGACCTTCTGCGAGCTTTCTATCGGGCGGAGGGCATCCGCCAGACGTTCACGCTTCCGGCCTCTCCACAGCAAAATGGGATTGCTGAGCGCCGCATTGGCATGGTAATGGATGTCGCTCGTACGTCCATGATCCATGCGGCTGCTCCCCATTTTCTGTGGCCGTTCGCGGTTCAGTACGCGGCGCATCAGATCAACCTCCAACCCCGGGTCTCCATGCCGGAGACCACCCCCACTCTGCGGTGGACAGGGAAGGTTGGCGATGCGTCTGCGTTCCGTGTCTGGGGATCTCGAGCTTTCGTCCGCGACTTGTCTGCGGACAAGCTGTCCTCCCGTGCCGTTCCCTGCGTCTTCCTTGGCTTCCCCCCCGACGCGCCTGGTTGGCAGTTTTACCACCCCACCTCGCGCCGTATTCTGTCCTCTCAGGACGTCACGTTTGACGAGTCGGTTCCTTACTACCGTCTCTTCCCCTACCGCACTGCCCCCCTCCCCCCCCCGCCGCTCTTCCTCGCGCCAGGTACTCCTCCGGTAGACCCCCTCCCCCCTCAGGGTCCTGCCCCCTCAGGTGTGTCTCAGGTAGACGCAGTCGAGCCTGTTGAGGTAGCTGGTGACTCCGGTGCTGCTAGGGGTGCTGAGCCTGCGGGTGCCGGGTCTGGGGGTGCTGAGCCTGGGGGTGCTGAGCCTGGGGTTGCTGAGTCTGGGGGTGCTGAGCCTGGGGGTGCTGAGCCTGGGGTTGCTGAGTCTGGGGGTGCTGCGCCTGGGGGTGCTGTGTCTGGGGGTGCTGAGACTGGAGGTCCTCCGAGTGTCCCGTCGCGGCGGGAGCCCCTCTCTCCACGGCAGCTTCGTGAGTGGTACGCTCGGCGCTGTAGCCGTGGTGCTAGAGCTGGGGGGCCTGCTACTGGAGGTGCTGCTGGTGCTGGAGCTGCTGGAGGTGCTGCTGGTGCTGGAGCTGCTGGAGGTGCTGCTGGTGCTGGAGCTGCTGGAGGTGCTGCTGGTGTTGGAGCTGCTGGAGGTGCTACTGGAGGTGCTGCTGGTGCTGGAGCTGCTGGAGGTGCTGCTGGTGCTGGAGCTGCTGGAGCCGCTGGTCCTGGAGGTGCTCGTACTGGAGGTACTGGAGCTGCTGGGACTGGAGCTGCTGCGGGAGTTGGAGCTGGAGGTGCTGGAGCGTCTGCTGCTGGAGGTGCTGCTGGAGCTGGAGCTGCTGGAGGTACTGGAGCTGGTGGTGCTGCGGGCGTTGTCGCTGGAGACCCTGGAGCTGAGGGTGCTGGTGCTGTCTCTGCTGGTTCAGGAGGCGCTGCGCGGCCGCGGCCGTACTACGTTCCGCTCCTTCAGCAGGTTCTTGGCCTCCCGCCTTCTACTGGTCCTATTCCTCCCCTACTGAGTCCACCGCCTGTCCAGTCGCAGTCACAGTTACATCCAGCCTCTCCACTACCTAGTCTTTCTCCTTACTCTGGGCCGACTAGAGGTCTTACGGAGCGTCGTGAGCCTGAGTCTCGTCCTGCGTCGCCTGAGTCTCGTCCAGAGTCGCCTGTCCGCGCTGTCCGCACTGGTCGTCGTGTTCCGCGTGAGCGTCCTCCTCCTGTCCCTGGCACTCACTATATGACTTTGCGTCCTTCCACTGCTCCACAGCGTGTCCCTCTGCCGTCTCCTCCTGCGTCCTCTCTTCCTGACGGTCCGGACCCGGAGTCTGACTCCCTACTGTCACGCGTTTCCTCGCTACTGTTGTCACTGACCCTTCCTTTGAGTCCACTGCTGTGTCTGCTCTAGTTGCTGAGCTTGTTGACATTGCTGCCGCCTGTCGTC